TGTGTGTGTGTGTGTGTGTGTGTGTGTGTGTGTGTGTGTGCGCGCGCGCGCATGTATGCGAGAGAGAGAAAGACCGAATAAATAAATGAAAATTGGTATGTATTACTTGTTGTTACCCCAACATTTTAAAACATATGTTTTTAGAGCTAAATAGCATACTATGTAGTCCCCTACCATTTTGTTTGTCACTACCATGTTGTCCTTATTAATCATTGAATGCCAAGAAAGATAAAACGATACTTGTGTAAATGGAAAGCACTCATTATAAAAAATCGATATATAAAACATTACAAAAAAATCGATATATAAAACATTACAAAAATAATGATAAAATACAACATTTCAAACGGCTGTAGCAAAAAAAATTAGTCATTTTTAAACTTTGTGCCTAAGGAAACTTTTGATTTAAAATTTACTTTTGAATAAGCCAAGAACTATAACATCCAAGCCAAGAACTATAACACCAAAGTTTCAGACAATTTCACAGAGGGCCAAAAACCTGTGGTTTTGTGCGGGGTCTTTTGACAAAAAATTCTTTTTGTTATTTTCTCGCAGTTTTCCGAGCGTATAGCAGAACTTCTAATGTCGAAACTAATTAACATTTTGATCCACATTTTTAATTGCTACTTTGTATATAACTAATTCTTAAAGATTTTTCAAATATATAAATTGATTAATTGAAAATAACTATGTTATTTTTCATTTAAATAAATTGCAGTAATACGTGAAACATTTGTATAATTAAAGCTATAGGAAATTAGATAACGTTGTATATTTAATTCCATGTTGGTCGAATTTTTATAACGATATGTAATAATAGAATCGTTTGGAATTATCAAGATTCTACTGTACATCGTATTATTAAATGCTCCGATCGTTCAGACAATCGAAACGGATTCTTTGGATTTCGCACTCGATGCACACTTTTCTTATTTTTTAATTTTCCTTTTCAACCTTTCCCTATCTAAAAGATATCGGATCTTTTCAAATCCGACTCGCGCAAACTATGTTGTGCAAGAAGAATCAAATGTAGCTTTTAAATATTATGCCTTTCTAGGAAGTACATATTTTCTACGCACACGCACTCACACGCACGCAAATACATTGGTAACGGAAACACACGTCTATTTGATTATAATTGGCTATTTTACTTATAATCTTGTAATCAGCGTTACAACAAAATGACGAAATGACTGAATCATTAACGGAAATGAAAGAGCAGCGACGAACGCGACTTGAGAATTAAAAATATCTCTATTCAGTTAAATGCAGGCGAGGATGCTCATTTTAAATGCTACTCGCATAACCGCGTATAATCATTCCTTGATATATTCAATTTTAAAATCAATTTTTTAGATTTAAAAATCTGAAAAATTCATTCGAACTTTTGATAGCTACGCGCATTCTGCATGTTCGGCATCTTTTTTTTTAATTTATGCTGAATGCTAAATAAGTCAAAGATCTATCGAAAAAATTTCGTATCTTAATCAGAAATCCTCGTAAATGATAATTTCTTTAATTGTCAATAAGTTTAAGCCTGAACTTCGATTTGTTCGTGTTTCGGCTTTTACACATTTATTTAATTTTTTTTTTTTTTTTCTAATCTTTCGGAACTATATACGAGGAATTCGTATTAAGGGACATGCTCGAACTCTATCTCATACTCATGTATGCTTGCTAATTGCATAAAGAGACGGGGCAGGATTTAAACGACAATCGTCAAACATTATACTTGGTAATTAGATTAACGAGCGGTTTAAACGAGCGGTCAAGTTTACCGGTTTAGCGGTTAAGTCGAAATATCGATCAGCGTGAAATTCGAGAAGCGTATAATCGTCTAGAAAAAGTGCTCACTTCTCGATCGAATTATCTTTGACTTCGCGTCGTGTTTAAACTAGAGCAAGTTTAGGAATGGACTTTTCGCTATGTGGAATAGAATGGAATATAATAGATAATCTATTTCGAAAACTCGGAACGTATCCCTCGGATGGAATAAAGTAAGTGTAAGAGCTTAACGTTACAGCGAGTGACTCGTTTGCTTTCTTTGGTCGTTGATCTGCACGCTGCACGCGACTTCGCCGTTTTGTACGCGTTAAAGATACTTCGAAACCGCGAAACGATTTTAACGGACATCACCACGATCGCTATATTCATTACGATTATTACTAAGGAGAAGATTCAACTTCCCTTTCGCGTTCACGTCGCCTCAGGCGCGCGCGAAAACTTAAATGCCAAGAAGTAAAAGGTACTGACGGTTTCGAGCTCCACGCGTGAATTTCTATCACTTCACCATACCGAGTCGCTGCGGTCGTAGCGCCTCTGCCCCGGAAATTCTACTTTATTCTTTTTTTCTTCTCCGCGGTATCCTCGGAGTGAAGGGGGGCGGACCGTCTTCAGGGCGAGCTACTTGTTGCGGATGTGTAAAAGCTAATAAAAAACGATTCGTTTTATCGGCTACGCTTAAAGGTAATAACGGTATGCCCGCTCTCGCCGTGAGAGAGAGGGTAGATATACTTTTAGGCACTGAATCGCACAGTTTTCCGCACCTAGGTATTCCCCTGGAGTGACACCGATGAACTAGTGCGAAGGAGAGGCGGGATTACACACAAGATTCAGGTTCGCGAGTCCGCATTATCTCCGTCGTCCCGGCCGGCATCATACTATCTGCTGCTTGAGCTTCACCAGGTTCGTCGCGCCGTAAAGCTTCATGTCCAGCGGCGCGCTCGGCTCGTTCTTCTTCGTCTGCGTGTGCCAGGCGAGTACTTTGGTGCAATTGTCCGCCAGCAGCTGGGCGTCCCGCGGTTCGAACGGCGTCAGGCTCTTCAGGAAGCCGTCCTCCTCGTATCCCGCACGAAACGGCATGGTGGCGTTCGGCCGCTGATGCAGGAACTTGACGCTCACGGCAAACCCGGCCATGTCCACAGGAAACTTCCGACCGGCTACCCAACCGTCGTAGAACCCGGCAAACTTGCCGTTCTTCAGGATCGGCGAGCTCAGCCCGAACTTGGTGCACAGCCCCACCGGGAACATCGACACCGTTTTCGTCTTACGAATCTGAAAGACATGCGTTAAGATGAATCATTTGGAAGGAGACCTCAGGTCTTTTGGCGAAGTTAAAATACTCCTTCGTAACTGGTCGTACTTCGTCGAAAAGTTCAATATCGTAAGTATTGTCGTCGTCGGCGAAGTAGAACACGCCCCTCGTGGCGTTCGCCCTGATCCACTGCAAGCCGCGATTCCTATTCGATACCCCTCGTGGCTTCGCGCCCTTCTTGAGCTTGTACTTCTCCGGCATCGGAGCTGCGCGAAAATAATACAAACCGCTACATCGTACAAATCTTGCGATAGATTCGTTGTATTTTCTAGATATTCACTTACCGATTAAATGATCGAACTTTATGCCTGTCCTTTCCAATAACTTGGTAACTTGCTTGGTAGCGACGGCAGCATCCTCGATGACGAGCCAATGTATATTTTTGACTAACATCAAGGTATGGGCCATCCTCGTGAGTTCGGGGATCTGTTCGGGTCTTCGATATGTAGGTGTGATGATGTACAGGGGTTCCTCGGACGATTCCTCGGAGGGGGGCGTTGGCGAACGGGACGGCGGCGGCGTTACCGCCTTGTGTATCGCCGTCGCCGGGGGTTGCGATTGCGACGGGGACTTGAAATTATTTCTGGAGGCCGCCGAGACGTTTTTGCTTAACTGATTGATAAGTTCCTGCACGAGCATCGAGCTTATTTCCGGACTCAGGCCGTTCGTGATTTGTACTCGGTATACGGCGTATCGAATCTGCAAAAAAGAAACTCGTCTGGCCAAGTATTGCAAAAAGAGAGATCAACGATAACAATCGATGATAACAAATAGACAAAGCGCGAGTGTTTTTAACGAAATATTTACTGTTTTCTGCATCGTAATTATTAATCGTCATTTTTTACCATTTCCTCGGTGAGCCTTGGGGTTTTGCTGTCACCCTCCTCACCAATCGGCAAATCCCCGGCGTCTTCCGCGGCGGTATCGGCATTGAAAGCCGTTATTGCTTGATCGAAAGTAACGCCGGTGGACAGATGATACTGATAAAAGACTACGCAGATCCCTATCAAGGCGATCACTCCCATTTTCATGGACGGCTTCATTATACCGATGCCTAAAAAAATAATATCGAGGAATAATAGGTTAAAATAATTAAATAATATATTACCATAATATTAAAAAAGCATACTAAAATAATAAAATGATATCAATAAATGATTATCAATTACGACGTGAGTGTTTAACGGAGTGATGCTACGATAAAAAATAAAGAGAGAAAAAATGAGAAAACGGATGATTCGATTAAATTTTTGAGAACGCGCATCAAGTTAACGTTTTTAATCTCGTTCTGATTTAATAATGGAGAATGAGTCTGGAAGATGAATCGGGCTATAGATTAAAAATTTACTATCTAACTATATTTAATTCAACTTATCCCAGGTAAACTTTCTCGCTTGGACGGGAGCGGTTACTCTCGCGTCCCATTCCCGTATCTCCTCCGAACCCGTGAGTTTCCAATTTTAATCCGATTCACGGTTCAATCCCATTTTGGGGAGGGCAGGGCGGGGCGCCCTCCCCCATTCATCGGGCATTAGCGCGTATAAATATCATGTATCATGCGAAATTTTCATAAAGCGCATAAAATGTAAATTTAATAACGAGCGAAACGAAAGTACGAAGATTAATCGTGGAAAGCTCCTGTGAATTAAAACCCGACATCGCATTGAAACGCGTTTCTTTCTGTCCGTATTAAAGCTCGACGCGCAGGATGATCCCGTTTCCGTGTGATCTCGAGCGGAAAACGTCGAGCTGCCATAATAACCCGCCGGGTGTAGAAGGTCGAAACAAAGATGTGCTCACTCACCCGAATGCTACATGTGTTGGCTATTCCGTCGTTTCCTCTGTCTCTCCTGAACCGCGGGCTGCTTCTTGCCCTGTCATAAAAGTAATTAACTGTCGTGATGCTCGTAATACGTCGCCGCGAGGATTTTACATTTACAGGAACATGGTACAGCCATTCTAATTTACTTCTTCATGCAAACTGGCGGAATGAGAATCCTCGGGGCGTGCGAATGAACCATTCGAACACCGTCGATAATTACGACTAATTGCGACTGTCCACGCGGACTTAATTAGTATAATACCCTAACGTGATTCGGCTCGCAACATGCGCAATC